ACGGTTAGAGTACAATAAGTCCATTTCCTGCTTAAGTCACGCAATAATTTCATAATACATGAAATCTTCGTGAAAAATGTTGCTGAGTGCGACCTCACATGCAACGACTTATGAAGATGTATTTATTTTCATTAATTTTAGAATAATTGTTGTATGTGTTTATATTTTCTGGAAATATTCCAATCCGATCCAATGAGATGACAGGGATGGTGCCATGGTGGGGCTTACAACAACAACGTGGGGACATGTCATATGTGCCTCGGTATTTTTTTTGGAATGCAAAATCGCCTGTCTCAGGGAGTCCTTGTTTCAGGTAGAGATGTGTATAAGAGAAAGGTTTTCGGCATTCCCGAGGACATTATAATCTCCAGGAGCAACCAGCGTCCCCTTAATTGTAATGGTAATCGCATTGTTCTTGCAGGAATCGCCATTAAACACTATGCTGCCAACCAAGAACCTCCCATTCGGAACATTAATGGCAGCCGCCTGAGTGGAGCCGCAGGCGGCACTCCACGCGGCTTGAAACGCCTTGGTGGAGTCTGTTACACCATCGGGTTTTGCTCCAAAAGTCATCACATCGTAAGTGACGGCTAACGACGTGTGGAATAAGAGGAAGAAGAAAAGAGTAAGAGTCGTGGCGAGTGCCATATTTGTTTTGAAAATGAGAGGAAAATGTGAATTGGGAAGATGGAAAGAAAGGAGTGGGGATGGGAAGTTGAAACGGTTTGAAGGGGTATTTATAGGATTTTTTTTATTTAAATCAGAAGTAAGCTGCGCCGGAAATTGAGATAATGGGTTCATTTTGCTCTTCATTTTGTTTTTAAAAAAATAAAAAAAAGGTTAATGAAAGGGCTAAGGTAAAGAAGCACTTTTTTGCTTTTTATTGTGTTGATGTGAATTAACTTTGGCGTTCTCTACTGTTGCAGGCATGATGAGATTTGCACTTATGGAATTCGACTTTTGATGGTAAAGAAAGCACAGAATGTTGAACAAAAGTTTTTGATTTGACTCTCCCTAAGTCCTATTAATTATTTAATGTGTAACTTTGGTATTTCAAATTATTAATATTTCAAAACGTATTCCATTGCGTCAACATGAGGAATGAGGATTATAGAACTAAGCCTATTGGCAAAAATAGACGCTTTCTTAGTTGTATGATTAAGATTCGAATTTTAGTTTTCTTTTCCTTCATCCATCTCCTCGTTAGGTTTCAACTAACTAGCATGTTTCATTGAAAAACAAAAAAAAAAAAAAAAAAAAAAAGAAGAAGAAGAAGAAGAAGAAAATAATTACTAGCTAGTCGCCCTTTCCATTTGCAAATGCTGGATAGATACGCAAGTCAAGAAAATTACCCAGTTAACCATATATTGTCATTTTCAACTTTAATTAAGGGTAGCTAATTATTTAAACATTTAATTAGCAGAAGGTTAGTAAATATTATTCCAAATTACTAAGCAAAAATAACTTATTAATATGATTAATGAATAAGGAGTCTAATAATATCTTGTCTAAGTAGAGTGTAAGAGATCTTAGTTTTGAATAATAGACATGCAAATAGAGTGAGTAATGAAATAAAAAGAATTGCCTCTTATTAGGTAATATAAAATTAAAAAAAAAGTATTGATACTAACGTAGATGATGTGACAATATAATTTTTATTGACTCTTTTTCTTTAAGTAAAATACATGAATATATATTCATCCACTCATTTATTATCATATGGTTATTATTAATAAATATTGTCAATAAATTATTTTCAAATAATACTAAAACAACAATGTGCTACGTGGAGGGGTAACTTGATCAACTGGTTAAGAGTTTAAAAAAATTGTGTAAATCTCGACTTAAAAAAGATTTGAGCCTGATGTTTTCAAAGCACAGTTTTATTAAACTTAACATAAACATATGAATATTGTAATTATTATGCCTTTAAATTAGCCGGACAGTAGACAATCACGCCGGCGTGATCCTACATGGAGCAGAATTCCTTGATTTAAGGTCTTAATTAGCCATTATTTGGTTGTTCCTTTAAGTACATAGACGTTTAGATAATTTATCTTCCCATTTTTATCATATTTTATCTCTCGGTTTTTGAGAATGATTACTAGATAATTTTATAATTAATTTCATTTTGGAGAAAACTTGTTATATATTTATGGGAGTCAAATTCACAATTTATAAAGTTATAGGGACTTAATTTTTATATCTTTAATTAATTGACTTAAAACTTTATTGGCAAATAGAAGATGTACAAATATTAATGGTCTAATTTCAGATGTGCCCAGTTAAATTACAATAAGTAAACTCTTATGTCAAGGATGGTAGGCCGATGAAGAAAAAAGAGTAGGCAATAAGCATGGGCAGCCGAAACAATAAAATGTTAAACGGAATTTAGCTTAAATCAAAGAAAATAGTTAATGATTAAACAGGAGAAGCAAAGGGTTTAATAGTTAGCGTAACACCACACCAAAATTAATATACAAAGTTTACGTGCTGTGACATTGGAGATTTTAAATTAAAAATTTCAAATTTTAATTTTAAAATAAGTAAAAAAGAAAAAAGAAAAAATGTGATTGGAACTACCATTTATTTTCACAGTCAATTATCATAAAAAAAGAACAAAATGAACAAAATGCACTGAGTCTTGTTTATGACTTGCTTTAGGCACAAGATTAATGCCTTTTTCCTCTCTCTTTTGTATAAAATTCATCTTTTACGGTTTAGACTTTACACTATATGTGGTAGTCTTTATTCTATTAATTTATTAAAATATTCTTAATAAAATTATTTTTTATAATATGTCATTAGAATATTTTAATAAATTTATAAAATAAATTACAATTTTAATTTGCAGTCCACTTTATAAAACATTTTTTCACTTCTACATAGTTCTATTTTGCTTAATCTAATGTTTTATGCTGCATCGAGCTTATGGTAATACGGTATTAATTTTCAGGGGACATAGGCACGTATACAGTTAAAATATTTGCAAACAAAATAACCAATGATTTAATCAACGAAATCTAATTGAGCCTGTGCTTTCTAATTTTAAATTTTAATTTTAAAATTAAGATTAAAAATTAGGAAAATTACAATTTAGTTTCTTGTAATTTGAGATTAGAGTACAAAAAACTTGAGATTTTAAAATTTACATATAACATACTTGTAGTTTAAAGTAAATGCAGATAAAAACTTGAAATTTTAAAATATGCATATAAATACCTAAGGATTGTGTTAAGTGCACAAAACAACTTAAAGTTATATAAAATGCCCTAAATACTCTTATTTTTTCTTTTCTTTTCATTCTTTTAAGTTAACATCTTTTAAGACATTTCAAAAATTTTAAATGATTATTTACATTTAATACAAATCTCGAATGTTTATGTGCATATTTTGAAATTTTGAATATTTATTTATATAAATTCAAAATTACAAGTATGTTATATACATATTTTAAAGTTTCAAATTTTTATGTGTACTTATTTCAAATCACTACCTTGAATTTTAATTTTATGCATTGGATTTTGAATGTTACCCATTGATGAGGTGAAATAAAAAAATACAAGGTGGTATTTGTGGAAATTTGCCCTAGTCTTGGCTCTAAATCTTTATTCACACCATGAACCATGTTCTTGGTCTCTAGCTAGGACATTGCAAGGTTCCATGTTTTCTGCCATTTTTCAGCTGCTAAAACAAAGAAATAAATAACCCAAAAATATAAATTTTAGTAAATACAAGTATAAATTTTATAAGTTTTTTTTTTTTGTAATTCAAATTGTATAAGAAAAACCATTAAATAGAGAATAGTCCCTAACATTATAGGACTTGCAATCTACTTCCATTTCAAAGGTATATATTATATAATCGGATGCAATTAAATATAAATTGAATTGCATAATACAAATTTTTTTATAAGAAAATTAATTTTGATTTAGTCTTTTAAAAAAAAAAAAAAAATTTCCCAGTAAAAAGGGCAGAATTTGGTATCAAGTCACCACCGGCAATTAACGTGGGATTGGGCGTGACAAGTGGAGCACAAAACGGAGACGAAAACGCCACACTTCCATTCTGTTTGCTCTGATTTCTGAACCCACTTCCACGTCATATTTTTGATTTTTTTTAACAAAATCCAACATTATCCATAAATTTCCAGATTTGCTTCTTACAATTTGATTGCTTCCGATGAATTTTGTACATCACCATATTCAGGACTTCTCATTTTTCCAAGTGTCAAATTTCCTTTCCACAAAAATCAAAAATCAATTCCGCGCAAAACATTGCGTGAACAGAAAACTGAACTTCCCCTGATAAAAATTCAAAGCTCATCCCATTTTTTATTATTCTGTTCATACATTAATCTCATATCAGGTCAATGGAAGCAGTGCTAAGATCATGGCACGCCGCCACCGCAAGTTTCACGGCACTAATCGTTAGTTAACAAATTTCTCCCCCAGTACTACTGGTTTCCCATGTGCAGATTGCAGGTTCATTCGTCCTTAACGTATTAAGAAGTTTGATATATAGTTGGTTAATAGGTCAATCCCAGAATCCGAATTTGTTGCTTCTCGATGATATGTACGGTTTTCCGTTATCGTAAAACTGATTGCTCCTCATGCCAATTCAGCGTGATGTCACATGGATAATTTTTTTATATTATTTTTTTATGTAATTTTTATATGTCATTAAATGAATTGATACATTTAATATTATAAATTTTATATGAATTAAAAAAATTAATTATTTTAACAACATGTCAGATTATACAAAAAAATAAAATAAAATAAATTGTACAGAAATCATCTCCCCTTCAATTCATCCAAGACGGTTAGAGTACAATAAGTCCATTTCCTGCTTAAGTCACGCAATAATTTCATAATACATGAAATCTTCGTGAAAAATGTTGCTGAGTGCGACCTCACATGCAACGACTTATGAAGATGTATTTATTTTCATTAATTTTAGAATAATTGTTGTATGTGTTTATATTTTCTGGAAATATTCCAATCCGATCCAATGAGATGACAGGGATGGTGCCATGGTGGGGCTTACAACAACAACGTGGGGACATGTCATATGTGCCTCGGTATTTTTTTTGGAATGCAAAATCGCCTGTCTCAGGGAGTCCTTGTTTCAGGTAGTTTATGTTAGTTGATGTGAACATGTTCGTACCAAGAAAAAAAGAAGAAGAAAAAACTGGCCATGTGATGCTGATATTTGTTGACCATCATTTTCAATTGTCAAATTTTGTATATTCATGAATCACACCCTCCTTTCATTGGATATCTCCCATGTCATATCATTTCTTTACTTTTACTTTAATTCCCTTGTTTCTAAGTCTCTATGGGATTTGGTTCCTAAACCTATAATCGTTAGCCTTAGGGAATATTTATGGTTCCAAATTAATCCTAACTGCTGTATTTGTCATGTTAGGAAGGAAAATTTAGGCACGAATAGAGCCCAAAATTTGTACCGAAAGACGGTATGACTTGAGGATTAAGATAAGAATAATATGATTATGATCCTAAGAATAACATGATTCTGATCCCAAGTCAATTGCTTGTACCAAACATTGATTGTTTTAATTGTGCACATATGCCACATTTTAACTGCATTCATCGAACCCTGTAGTACCACAAGGGGTCTTTTCCTTTGGCCATTGTGTACCAACGTTACAAGTTTAGAGCACATGGGGGTTTCTTGAAAAAGGT